TTCGATAACGGGTTCCAGACCAGGCCGTACTTTACGGTACGGCCCGGTCTGGAACCCGTTATCGAACGCTTCCATGGCTTCCATAAAACGACTCGAACGCGTTTTGCCCTACCCGCTTGTGCCCCTTTCGAAAATTCGAATACAGAATCCGAACGTCAGAACTGATGTTGTTGCATTTGAGGGTTAAGGGGCACCAACTTTTGGCTCATCTTGCATTGAAAGGCGCGTTTTCTTGGGTGGGTATGACATAAATAAAATACAACACGGTGTATTCCGTATCGCCCTCGGTCCCGGCCATCCCGCGAGTCGGATCGCCCTCCCGCCTGCGGCCATCGGGCGATCCGACCCGCGGTCAGGCCGATACCTCGGGCGATACGGAATACCCCGTGTTGTATTCTATATTTATACAACTATATAAAAATTATAATAATACAAGAGAGAACACAAGGGGAGATACAAATACTTAGCCAGGTTTATTCAGTGTTCTGATGCAAAAGCGCCCCCAAGCAGTGAGAAGCAGTACTACAGTCAGAAGCTGTGAGAAAGGTGTCTGATAGACATTGAAATGCAAGCAGTGAGAGGCATTACTGGTTGTGTAAAGGAAAACGCCAATATCCTACGCTGGGAAAGATTAACACATCATTTCAAAAATAATTCAGAATAAACAACCTACCCACAAGAAGACTGGACACTGGCATGTACTTGGCAGCAACTTGGAGCCTGAACAACAAGAAAAAAATATTCATTACACCACACCAGTTTAATACATTGAAATGATGGGCTTGAAATACCACCTGTGTATATATTAGTACAAATAAAATTGAAGCTGTGCAGGTATTTCTGATGTAGACCTGCACCTAACTTGTACCGGTCCATGTAGTATTGGGTTTATGTACAAATGTAATACTACATGTATCTATCTGGATTTTACTTGCTGCATTGACTATTGCCACGTGCATCTATGGAGTATAAAAGAAATAATGGCAATGCTCTTAAATCCATACTTAAGTCTTCCTAAGTTCTGAGTGATGCAGATAATTTTCCATGTAGCATAAAAGTCTTTTGAGCCTTTACTAAGTAAATGCTGCATTATGTAACATGATGATGATGCAAAAAGTTTCTATTTTTGAATCAGAATATTTCGATTTGTGGTGAAAAAATGGTACATAATACTGAAAAGCCTTGCCCAGTTACAAATCATACTGTGTAGTATTGAAACAGCAGCTCATTACCAGTACACCTTACAGAAAAGGGATGCAGGCGCCCCCTAGTGATTATTGTTAATGATGACACCTCAAAGTCAAAACCCTACCAATCTAGCCACTCGGTTGGGTTAAGGCAGCCTATGGCATACTATGAGTAGTATTTCATACATATGCCTGTAACTTTTGATAGCTTGGTCGCACCACAACTAAACTTCACACAGTTCTAGTAGTACTTGAAACACATTGAATAAAGGTAATTTGTTTTTACTACTGCTGGATTTTTGGGTTAAAAATCAACATTTTGGTTTAAAAAAAGCTGTTTACTTCATGGCTTTACGCGCAAGCGGTAGCAACACCTTTCATCATGGTATTTTACAAGTAGAAAGCCAACCCCCTATTTATTATTTTTGTCCGAGGCTATTTTGTGTTAAATGACAGTTACATTGTTTTTTTGGGCCAAAAACGACAGAAACAGCTATTTTTCTGTCATTTTTCGTTAAAAAATCGCCACAGTTAAAAAATATCGACTTATATGCAAAATAGCCTCGGACAATTTTGATGAAAAAGTGATAATACGTAAACATGGATTACTCTAAAGATCAATTATGCTGTTTTCAGCTGCGCGTAAAGCCGTTTATGTCATAGTCCGTGAATAAAATGCGTAACAACGCGGGTTTACAGGGAAAACATACAAATGACCGCGACTGACCCCGAATTCGAACACGCGTTCTATTCGAATGACGTCATATCGAACATGGTGGAACATGATTCGGGTTCGAAACAAGTTTGTGGCAATTGTGCAGACACACGTCCGAACTCAAACATGAATATCAGCCTAGGCCGCCTTAACCCAACTGAGCAGTCTGTCTTTCCATCATCTAATTCTAACAGAATTTGCCTCTCATGACAAGAATTTTACCCTTTCTGTCCGCTTAAATGGACAACATTGGCATGTGAAGATACGCAAAGAGGTGTCATAAAAGTTGAAGCTTAGTGTACCAGTGAAATCTGTCCCTCAAAGTGCAGGAAAAAAGCATTTCAGCTGGTCGAGATTTCAAAATTTCTATAGTATATGGATTGCAAAAGTGAGACTGATGACAGAAAAAAAGCTACCTACAGAAGAGGGCCTGCAAGGGGGGGTCCTGACAACGCTCTACGCTGAATTCGGAAACCTCTCGATTACGCTTTACGATAAATTCCAAGTGGCTACAACGCATTACGTAGAATTAAAACGGCGAATACGCTCTACGCAAAATGAGAAGAGCGGTCCATCTACCCTCTACGTAGAATTAAAACCGCCGATTACGCTCTACGGAAAAGGGCTTGCGGGCCCCCTAGAAGAAGTAGAACACCTTACCATCCGCCCGGAGCTGCACACAGGTCCACCAGAACCTTGGACCTCTGCAGGAAGCCATATTTCCGGTTCAGCTGGATCAGTTTGAAAGCCGAGCGCGCCCGGTAGCCTGGAAACAAACGTAACAAGAATAATCAGATCTGGCTGACTCTGCGACTGATCCCTTCTCTCCCACAAAATTACAGGTAGTAGATCTGATGTCGTACACTTAAAAAACAATGCAAATAGTATGAAATACAAATGTACACATATATGCACAAACAAACACACACATATACATAATGACATGGAAATCATTAATGCACAGATACACACACACACACACACACACACATGAACACATACATACACATCGTGACATGTATACACACATGCACATGCATGTACTAGTACTCACTCAAGTTAACTCAATCCTCATGCACTTGGTGCGTCGACACACACACGCAAATACATGTGTACACACTGTCACACAAAAAAAATACACATACACATCGGCACATACACACACACACACACACACACAAATACACTTGAGGACACAAATACATGTGTACACACACACAGACACACATATAAATACACACACACACACAAATTTAGACACACACACAGACACACAAATACACACGTTACACATATACACATTATGCAGAATTCTGTAAAGATCCTTAACGTTATAAACACTATGCAACTTGGAATATTTTGTTACATCAACACACAACAGCAAAGTTTCATAGTCCTTCAATAAAAAAAAAATGTGGCTGTCCAAGTTACTCTAATGCCCCCCACCCCCTAAACAGCTGACCAGCAGAGAAACCTTGATACCTACAAATTATAGAGCTTAAATATATATATACAATATTCCTGTCAACGTACCTGTCTCCTTAGCTAACTTATAGAACTTGTCCTTCCGATGCTGCCCTGTTTTCCCCTTCTTTCCCATTTTAAACACCAGTTAATTGTGAGAAATGTGCGACACACATTAAAGTTCTCCACAGACACACGTGCACACTCGCTCAGGCACTGAGGAACTGAATGGAGGAATTTTAAACTCTGGAACTTAATATCAGCTAAATTTTTAAGTAAACAATAACATTACCTATACTTCATTGGCCTTAAGTAAAACTGAGCAGCTTTTTTTGTGACTTTTTAAAAATATTCTGCACGGCTAAATTCAAAACGAGCCGATTTCTGCTGTATCGGGAAACTGCATTACTCTTTCATACCCTCCCTACACTATCCCAGAAGGCGCGGAGTGACGTCACGAGAAGCCGCCATCTTGGTGTGTGCACATGGTGGTCGAGGCTGTGGTGTCTCACTAAAAACCGACCTACAAACGGTGAGTAGGCTTCTCCTAAAATTCAAACTACTCTTGTCTTAGTACAACAGCTGTGTTATCACCGGGTAGATATGAATGCAATTTTGTGGCAAGTCTTTGGCTGTGGCGCGATGTTTTCTGTCAGGCATATGTTAAGGTTGGTCAGGGGTGGGAGGGGGGCAAACCGATGCGCTACGTCTTGCAAATAATTTGCATTGTGCAATATATCAAAAAGAAATGTAACATTTCAGATTTTTTCACCACAGAGACTTAGCGTTACCATGTCAAATGACAAGGTGACTTTGAATCATACAGTTCAGTCGTAAAACTGCATGTAAACTGCGTGGGAAATTATAATCATAAAGAAAATCAAATTTTTCTTTCCTCCCTTCCTCTCTCTTTTCCCAGGCTGTCTCACCAACTCCCTCATAATTTTTCTTCTTTCTTTCCTTCATTCTTTTGTGCAGCTCAGTATTCATATAGGTCCAGATGAGCAAAACTTGATTAATTTAAGGTTTCCTCACTGGCTAACTTGGCATTTTTAACTTTCCATCGTTTTGTCACAAAGAAATTTAGAAAGAACTGTAGTTGTAGTTACTTGTACTGAATATTGATACCTGGGTACAAAAGGGTTATGAACATGATTTTATGGACCATATGGATGACGTCATCTCTTTTTATTGATCCAAATATAATTATCTTTAAAGTTATAATACAGAACTTTGGTACAAATAACAATAAAAGTATGCAATTTAAAAGTATGATTTTCATGTGCATAATGGTCAAAGCTACAAATGTATATTTGCACAAATCGATATCTACTAATTACCCATAGTTATTAGAGAATAACCTAATAGCCTTATTAAAATCTAGGTATTCTCTTATAACTATGGGTAATTAGTAGATATCAATTTGTGCAAACGTACGTTTGTAGCTTTGACCATTATGCACATGAAAATCATACTTTTATTGCAGTTATTTGTACCAACTTATTATAACTTAATAGCATAAATGGTGTTGACGGCACCCTGAAACATTGCTTTTGGAGTAGGTAATATAATTACCAAGGGGGCAACTTGATAAAATGTATTTTGATCCCTGAGCATAGTTCATTCCCTAAATGTGTATTCATAACATGTTTAATTTTATTTTTCATTATTTCAGGGGCAAGATGTCGTCCCGTTTTTTTGCCACGGGAAGTGACAGCGAAAGTGAGTCATCGTCAGAGTCTGAGGAGCAGACAGTAGTGCAGGCCAAGTCTACTGTCACTGCAAAGTCAGTCATTACTTACTACTACTACTACACAAACATTTACACTACTACTGCTTTTTCTACTACACATACTTACATATTCATGACATTGTATAGTTAAATTTCCTATCATTTGGCATCTCCCCTTATGCCCATAATTTTCTGGATGACTTCTGAGTGCCATCCAAAGCACCTAGATTATGTACTTTCATCATATATCTGAGACAGTTTGGAATTTTGAATACTTCAATACTTTTGGTATGTCACAGTTCTACTTATATTAATAGCAAATAAGTACTAACAGAAAGGTCAACTGACAAGGGACAATCCCTTGCCAATTCATAATGATATATCTATGACCATCATGGCTATTTTAGTTGAAATTCATTATATTTTTGTTTCTTCTCCAGAGTTTTTGCCTTCAGTGATGATGAAGAAGAAACTAAACGAGTTGTTCGGAGTGCCAAGGACAAAAGGTAAGATGGAATAAGTGTAAGAAATATAAGTGTAATATTGCTTAGAAAACAAGGTCTCATTTTCTTACGGGGAAGACTGTGTAATATTGTACCCGATTTCTTGATTTTATTGCGGTAAATTGACATCGACAAATACAATACGGTACCTAAAAACCTTAAATGTTAAATGAATTGCTTAGTTTGTTAGATTTTGTTTTAATATAGAGCTTTGAGGAGTTCGTATTTTGATGAGCACCACCCATGACAATGGAACATTCAGACAAATTTATGCAAGCGGCGAAAACAGGCCCGAAAATCGCCGAAAATGACAAGTTTCTTGCTACAATATGCGTTTATAAACGTCTTCACGTCGAAGATTTGCCGATTTTTTCACGCGTAGTCGAAAAAAATTACTGATTTTCAAAAAATTAATAAACGTATCGTGCAAAATAAGAACGTACCGGGTGGACGTTCGGGCCCAAAAAAATTAACGTACCGGTACGTTTATTCGGCAGATGAGAGTAGGGTTGCCTCAACTGACTTTCTCAAGTAATAATAGTAATATCCTGTGATAAAAAATTACTTTGTATTGTCAGTCTCCTGTTATACAATGCACTTTTAGAATTTGAAATATTCCTATTAATAAGCTTCATACCATAATAACCGTTGATCACATATTCATTGTTTTACTTCAGGTTTGAGGAACTCCAAAATGTCATCAAGCAGTTGCGGAACCACAAGAAGATCAAGGATATATCCAAAGTCTTGGAAACCTTTGAAGACCTCACCAAAGCCTTGCAGAAATCACAGAAAGTTAGTGTTTTTTGTTGCATGTATTTACACATGTGAGATATGACGTTTCAGCTTTGTATCTTTTACCTGATTGGAGATTTAAAGAAATTAAGATAACGCATGCGCATACAGTCAAATTTGGTGTACTGACTGATTATATATTGTATGTTCATTCTCTTTTAATTTTGCTGTTAGTATGTTTGTATGTTGATATGTTTTGAACCCTGGAAGACTAAAGGGTATCGAAATAAACGAACGAAATTACTGACCAGCTTCAGAAGACGGCTTTTTTTAGTACAATGTATGTGATGGTGTCTTTTTGTCAGCCCGGAACATTTTCCACAGTGATGGTGAGTGACACAAGCATTAAGCATTTTGCTAAATCCAACTGCTTACCTATATTATGTCAGGCTAAGTTGTTCCAAAATTTGGTTTCTCTCAATAAAAAACCAACGTCAATTCTATGTCCAAATGCAGTATTTGACTATTCGACAGTGGAACGCTCAGTGCGTTAAATTTTGGAACATTAATTTTGACATTTGTGATAACCAAATAGCACCCTGTGTGATATCTGGAGTTATCACACAACCAGGAACACCCGTACTGAATGTTATCGTGGCCCAGGTTTGACATTAATCAGTGTTCTCACCAGGATTTTTTTACAGCATAGGGGTCAGGTACAGAAGGGCAACTTTCGCGGCACAAGTCGTGTATTGAGCCTAAAAATTTTGACTCATAACCCTCTGAGACACTATTTCTCACTTATTGGGGGGCAGATTTTGTAAAGTTATGGTTTTCCCTTTGCTATAGCTTCGATCTAACGTTATATTTTCATTTTTTGCAAGATTTATGAAGGTTCCCCCCCAAAGAAACACCCCTATGCTGGTTGAAAGACAGCATAGGGGTCCAGATCACAGCATAGGGGGTCCAAATCACAGCATAGGTAGCCTGGAATCCATCCGTGAACGCTTTATCTCCACTCCGTTCCTCCGCTATGCAGGGGCCCCTATGCTCAAAAGGCCTGGTGAGAACACTGTTAACGTCATAGCAAGAGTGATAAACTTGGCCATATTGATCCCCTTATATTAGTCCAAGTCTTAGACATACAATATACATGTACTACAGTCTACTGGGTACCTGAATACCTGTTGATGTGTCATTGCTGTTTTCTGTTTTCCCGTAGGTGATTGAAAAGGAGGGTGGTGTACCCAGGTTCTATATACGAGCTCTTGTTGAACTGGAGGACTTCATCAATGAGGTAAATATCTTCTCTCTGTGAAAAACCCATTTAGAAACATACTTGCTATAGAAAAAACTGTTTGAAGAAGACTACCCGTATCATTATAAGGGTATTAGGTAACATTTTTTGCACCAAAAGGAGGATTTTTCAAAATATCAATTGAAGCAGCCCACATGAAGGGCACTTAGTTTGTCGTACCACCACAAAATACGAGAATGTAAACAAACATGGCTGACAGCTGTGTTTCCAGCTTCTAAACATACTCATAAGGCATCATATTTTGGCACCTCCACTTCATGAATGGCACCTGTAATGTAGTAGTTTTGATTCAGCTTACTTTGTAAAGAAATGACCAGAGAGAAAATTGACTTTTTGTATCGTATAGAATCCGGCAGGCATAGCCGTACCCCTCTGAAAGATAGAACGTGCGAATTCTGTAATCATTTATATGTTGAAAACGAGATACACTTTCTACTTGACTGTACATTATATAAAGATGAACGCCAAGAGCTATTCGATACTTTTACAATTAGACAAGATATGTAAGAAAATGTCAAAGCAGGACATGTTCAAACACTTGATGTCATATAAGAACGAATGTACAGTAGACAAACTATGTAATTATGTTTCCAAATGTTTCAAAAAGAGAAGAAAGGGCAACTAACAGTAGATGATAGGTAGTATATAGTATTATTGTAATGTATAGATTCCTAGCGCTTTGCATTAGAATACAGCGTACCAGTATGAAATACTCATGTTTTACATACTGGACATCCTCTGGTGCATTTAGCCCATGTGGGCAAGAACATGCAATAAAGATTCATGTCATATCATATCATTATCCTAGTACTGTTACACAATTCAGCTTTAATAATGAATCTTTAACCCTCACACACCGTGTCCCTGTCCCCAGACCTGGGAGGACCGGGAAGGGCGGAAGAAGTTGAACAAGGTGAACTCCAAGGCCCTGACCACGATGCGTCAGAAGCTGCGGAAGTACAACCGTGACTTCGAGGCGGACATCGCGTCATACCGCGAGAACCCGGACGCCGGCGAGGAGCAGGAGGCCGCGGAGGACGACAGGGACCGCTCGGACTCAGAGTCTGATGACGAAAACGAGGCTCCGCGGGAGAAGAAGAAGCCCGCGGCTCCGGCTGAAGCCGCTGACATGAAGAGTCAGTTCCTGAAGGGGGGAGACAGCGAGGTACAACATGTTTTACAGTACAGATCCATTAACTTCCCTTCCAGGGTTCTAGCTAGGATTTTAGTTTAGCGTAGTGGTACTGGCCGCATGTCAAGGGAGCGAAGCGGCCGAGAGGGAGGATGGGGCAGAGCTTTTAAAAAATTGAGTTCAAAAAGGGGCCGGCTGAAGCCGACATGAAGAGTCAGTTCCTGAAGGGGGGGACAGCGAGGTACAGCATGTTTTACATAGTAAAAGGTTGAACTTTATTCCAACACACAATTGTACAGTCATGAAAGTTCATCTGTGTTGGTAGTTACATGTTTAAAGTTAAAACTTTTGGTCCAACACAAAAAATTCTCTCACCTAGAGCTTTTGACCAGTCACTCTGGTCTTCCTCAGTAGACTGACCCAGTGAGACTTGTCACATGGCTTCTTTGAAGTGTGACGTCTACTGAGAGGAAGACCAGAGTGACTGGTCAAAAGCTCTAGGTGAAAGAATTTTTTGTGTTGGACCAAAAGTTTTAACTTTAAACACACAATTTACAGGGATCAAATTTTCAGCGACCACTGTCGCCTTCATCAGGATAATTAATGACCAATCACTTCACAACGTGATCTCGCGAGAGTTACGGTTTACAAACACGTGACCTTATTCACACGAGATTTTACTGATACGTGACGTAAGCAATTGATCAAAAGTGCCAAGGAGTTTATTATATCCCTGTACAATTGTGTGTTGGAATAAAGTTCAACCTTTTACTATGATTACTACCAACACAGATGACAGCGAGGTACAACATGTTTTACAGTACAGATCCATTAACTTCCCTTCCCAAGTCTTTTCTACACGGTTTGAATTTGGAAGCTTTAAAATGAGAGATACTTTATTCTGTAAACTGCAGTAAAAAAATTGGTTGAAAATTCATGCGCATGTGGATGTCATCCATCAACATTGCCTAATTAGAAGGTGGTGTACTTTTTATTCCTTCTCAATGTTTACAAGGTATTCATGACAACTTTCAGCCTGGAAGCTCCATCACAGATATTATTCTTCTCCTTTATGATAACAACCCAAAGGTATTAATTTATATTAATGTATTCAGGGCTCAAAATACTGGGTGCACGTGCACCTTAGTGCACCCAATTTTTTTTGTGTGGGTGCCCAAATATTTTTGTAGGTTTATGTATGTCAAGACGTACAGTATACAGCATGCTTTTAAGATCCAAGGTCACAAAAAAATCAAATTTATTTAATTATTCTTGATTCTTGTATTTATTTTCTTTAGAAATGAAACATAATTAGTTTTTGCTGACATAATACTGCCTTATTTTATTTGATATGGCAGGTGCACCCCCATTTTTTTTTTTAGGTTTGGTGCACCATTGCACCTATTTCCAAAAATGAATTTGGTGCCCTGTATAAATGTTATAATGTACATGTATATGTACATGTATGACCTGATCTGTTCTTCCCTAACAGGGTAGCGATGACTCTGACCTGGACTGGCCCTCGGACTCCGACAGTGAATCTTCAGACTCCTCTGAACCAGAGGGGGGCTATACCAACATGGCAGCCAAGTTCTTAAAAAAGTAGGCTTCTCAGTTTTTTTTCATTTCCGACTTTTGCACCTGGCAATAATTTCCTTTAATTGTCCCAAAAATGTCCAAAGGTGATTTTGAGTTGTCTTGGCCACTGTTAATTTTGAGGTCTGCGCCTTTCCTAATCTAAGCTATTGTTTAAATTAGCACATGATAGAAAAAAAAGCCAGCAAGTTTACCACCAAAACTGTGATTAAATAGGTAAAACATTCAGCAGTCCACAAGAAAACAGTTTCTCAAGCAGCTGGATAGATTTAAAAAACTGTCAAATGTTTCATGTAGCATCCACTACTTTTTGATCATGACATCCATTTTCTTGTGTATTTCTTGGGTGTCTAATCTTCATTAACATATCTAGCAGTGCCATTTTGCAATTTTTATAGGTCATCAGTGAGTTGTCATGATATAGAATCAGCTTAAAGCTAGAGTTAGGGTAATTTTTTCCAAGGCATGGTTTGTTTGAGCCTTTATTTCAACTCGATCTGTAACTGTGTTACATGCTCTAATCGGCCGCTATTTCAGCCGCTTTTCATAGAGGTCGAGCGTGGAGGAGTGTCAGGGGGTCATAACATAAATACTACTTGCTCACAAATGCAAACACAAAGTAATAATTGTTGTACACAAGGTAACTCACACAAAGTAAATAAATAAACAAATGGCAATAACTAATAAATAACTCATAAGTCGTTGCGTCCAAAGTCGTTCAGTCAAAGTCAGTTACGATACTAGCAGTCTTTTAAATGTTCTAAGAGTAGGTGCTGCTCTAACATGCTGTGGAAGAGCGTTCCATACAAGTGAGCCAGAGTAGGCTAGGGATCTCCGGTATATTTCTCTTAATGGCATCAGTACCGCAAGGAGATCAGTATGAAATAGGAAATGGTAGTGTGTGTTTTTTTCTCAGTTGTTCATGCTAACTTTCCCGCCGTGTCTGACAGGACCACGGCAGCGGAGGAGGCAGCGAAGGCGGCCAGGAAAGCGGAGAAGAAGGAGCGTAAGGCGCGGGAACAGCGTAGAGAGGAGGAGGAGAGAGAGCTGGAGGAGGGAGAGTGGACGGAGGTGCAGAGGGGTGCTCCTATGGCCATGGTGAGGAGTCATGTTAGCACAAACACAACTTGTCAACTGACTTCTTTAGGCCACACCAATTTAATTTGTTGTTTCTTACATTTTTTTAGAAAAAACATGATGTGACAGGGCGAAATAAAAAAAAAACAAGCCAAGGTACCCCATGATAGCCAGAAATGTTACAATATGAGCCATAAGGCCACACCAATTTAATTTCTTGGTTAACAGATTTTTCTAGAAAAATAATGGAGCGGGCGGGCGACATCCTCCCATGGCAGGGGCAGCGGCTCCGAATTCCTTCTCCGCCCCTACCCCTGCCTGATTACATGGCATCTTCTACTCTACGACCCGAGGAATATTAATATTCATGAGCTTGCCTTATTTGGCATGACCCCATTTCTGACTTGGGCGGCGAAGGGACGTCACCCTCCCGCCGGCGACTCCGCCGCCGCCCGGTGACGAGCCCGTTAACGCGTTGGGGAGGCCGTGCGGGGCAAAGTCACCAAGTTAACACCTTCCCCGTGCTCGGCGGGATCCGCGCGCAGCCTCCAGCACACGCTAGCGCCCCGCCGACGCCCGCAGCGGCCTGCATCGCAAAAGTTCTCTTCCCGAGACGACGCCATGTTTGTTTTTATTTGTCACTGAATAGCCGACATGATTGGTTCCGATAGCTAGCGCATCTCATAAATATTAATGTAAAGTGCGTTGAAGATTTTCTCTGTGATACGTGATTGGCTGAGAGCGTGTCCCTGGAATCGGGTCGTAGAGTAGAAGATGCCATGTAATCAGGCAGGGGTAGGGGCGGAGAAGGAATTCGGAGCCGCTGCCCCTGCCATGGGAGGATGGCGGGCGAAAAAGAAAATAAATAAAAACAGGCGTAGGCATCCTATTATGGCCCAAAATGGTACAATAGGAGTCATGAAGTCAACACACCAGGCTGGTTCAAAATTTAAATGAAGAATTTTGAACTTTTAATGATATTACCATTGCATTGAAAGATGGAATAATTGTAACAACTAGGAAGAAAAGGACTGTTTTCAACTGTTCAGGGCAAAATATGAGCATTTTGCAGTTGATTCTGAATTTTTATTTTTATTTATTTGAGAAACTAGGAAGAAAAGGACTTTCTTCAACCGTTGGCCAAAATATGTCTTTCATTAAGCATTTTGCAGTTAATTTAGAACCCCCAAAATTTTTTTTTTGCAAATCACGAAAAAAAGGACAGGGTGATCCGAGAAGCAACAAATTAAATTGCTGTGGCCTTAGATACATTCAAACTTGCCCATTGATCCACTGTATAAGCCAATCATTTGGCCATAACAGCTCCATTTCCTCTGTCCTGATTTTTTTCCCTATAGCTGTAAGCATTAAAGATTACATGTACCTAATCTAACCGCTGAAACATAAATTGCTCGATCTCTGCCTATTATGTATTATGTGTTTTCATGCATGTTGTCAAAACATTTTTGATAATTAAGTGAGAAATGTTGACCTGTTTGGCATTGATTTTGACATTTGTCTTTTTCCTCAATGCAAGAAGGCTGGGTCTACTTGGGTCAATGGGGCTGTCTATTGTAAAATTGGTCAAAATTTTGCTGCAATCTCTTTTAACTAAGAAGACCACTTTCATTTGGTACTCTGAACCCTTGTCCTACACAAGTTGAACTTTTATGATCTGAACACGACTGATAGTGATGTTTTGAATGTCTGTTTGTATGATTGTTTGAATGTGTGTGTTTTTGCAATTACCACACTGTACTATGCAACAATTGCTGTATAATCCGTGTCCATAATATCACCAGGGTCCGTAATATCGCCACCTTGAGAAAAAGTGTGCTTAAAGATATTTTTACTGCAACATACTTTTGGTATGCACTCCTTCACACCTCAAATGTACATACCTAGGGTATGTTGCAGTAAAAATATCTTTAGGCACACTATTTCTCAAGGTGGCGATATTATGCACCCTGGTGATATTATGGACACGGATGTTACATCCTGATTACTACAATTTTGGGGGACAAGTAGGGCTACAAAGCAGTAAGGGTAAATGTTAATTTTGCTGTTTTTCTCTCTGCTTTAGGAGAAGCCCAAAATGTTTGCCAAGGGAACAGAGATCAACCATGCCGTGGTGCTGAAGAAACTGAATGAGATCCTGGCAGCGCGGGGGAAGAAGGGCACAGACCGCTCTGAACAGATCATGCTACTGGCAGTAAGTTTGAAACTTTGAAACTTAATTCACACACCTTCTTGCAGACAATAAGTCTGAATTGGTAGGCATTTACAATGAAATAGGTAAAAGTGCTAAGGAGTTAAAAATGGAAAATCAATCAAACTCAATTTAAAATCAATAAACATAAGTGTGATAAAAATTGTAACGTACTATAGTCTTCTATATATAATACAATTCATGAGGTCACGTTGGTATTTACAGATTGTCAGTTAAAGTGTTTGTTCAGCAAGTTTGTCATGTAAGGTATCGAGTTTTTGTGGCGAGCTGTTCTACAGATGGGAGTGTTCAGTTTGTTAGCACTACGTGTGTTTCTGCCGGATATCTGTTTTCGGGTTTGTAGGAAAACACACACAGTAGAAATAGAATCTGTTAGCTCATTACTTTTTTTTACAGCTCATTATAATATATGGTTTTAAGGCATCATTTTTGTAACATTTTGGCACCAAAAATTGAAGAAAATGTTAAATGTAGATTACTTCCACTTTTCAACATGTGTGTGTCATCTCATATTCTGACATTTATGGTTGGTGCTAAAATAGCTCACATGAAGCACATTTAGTTTGTGGTGCCACCACAAAGTACCAGAATGTAAACAAACATGGCTGACAGCTGTGTTTCCACTTTTAAACTCTTCTATGGTGTAACAATATTTTGGCTCCCCTACTCCCTTACATGTGCTTGGAATATAGTAGTCGATTCACCTACTTTCTAATATAAATAAATGACCAGAAAATTAACTTTTTGTACCATTGAAATGTTACATAATTAAATGCAGCTTTAATGGTTGATGATGAGACTTTTCTGTTTGATGCCTACCACACAATCACATAAGGACGACTATTCTTACCTGCACATCTTTAATTTTTTTTGCTCATATATGCATCTGCTTTTATTGTTACCGCAACCCAATTTATATGAAATCCGCACAGTTTTGCCTTGCGGTAGTACCTAACTAGTAATATACATTAGTAGCTGTTTCTCTATGTCACTGTTTAACCATTTTTTTATAAATCTTTGTTTACCAGGAGCTGCGTAGAATTTCGGAAGAAAACAACCTGGGTCTGGGGATGACTGTGAAGATTCTGTTCAACATCATTGCGTCCATCTTTGACTACAACCCCAACATTGCCACCTGCATGAAGGATGAGATGTGGGCAAAGTCAGTAGACATAAACCTACAAACATGGTCTAGTTTTAGTATCAACCTACGTGTGTACATGTCATGCCTGGGCCCTGAAAACTGGGTGTTCTGGCCTTTTTGATAATTACCCATATGCAGGCTTTAAGCTATAGCTAGGGGTGTCCACGGTGTCTTTTGGACTCCCTGTACTGAAAATAATAAGAAATTGGACACCTTACATTGTACTTTTTGGGAGGACACCCTAAAGACACCCTATTTTTTACGCTTTGAACCCCTGCCATGCACACATGCCTACCTTTAGCCTTACTATGAATACAAAAATGATGATTTACTGAAGGAAAAGAACTCAAATTCTTCAAAATTTGTACCTCAAAATGCAGAAAGTAGCGTTAGAGAGCATCATGAATTTTTAAAAAAGCCACCCTAAAAGCTTGCACACCGTGCGTCTTTGCTGTGCATACTATATTAGGCCACACCGTCTTAATTTTATGGATGACATTCTCTGATCACCCCCAAAGTACATGTAGTCCGCGCGGGCAAAATATAAATAAAAATTCCAGCCAAAAAATAGAAATGCTACTAAACCACAGGAACACAAAGCTCTGGTATTGTGAATTTGTGGCAGTGTGATCTTTTTTTTTTGAGAACAGGCGAAAATCAATGCGCGCTCGGATATCATCCATAAAATAAAGCTGGTGTGGCCTTAGCATACGAAAAAAATGGACACCCAACAAAACACTCCTAGCTAAAAGCCTGTGCATATCACACAGGGTTGTAACGGTTATCTCATGGGCTTCCAAAAGTTCTGAAGAATGATTTGAACGTGTTTTGCATATGCTGCATGCACCACTTTCAAAAATTATCTTTCTTTTACAAAGTTTATTGTATTACAAACTTGACTTCATGATCAGTTCAATCCCCTGAATTGCAGACTTTTAAAAAGAGACTCAAGGTTTCAGAACACTTGGTCTGTTAATAAACTTTGATAACCATGCTTTCAACGACAACAAAGTCAGAAAAATGTCTGACACAGGAAGAAATGAGTGTTTGCCATTTGTCCGATGAATCTATTAAGAGCCTAAAAGTAGGCCATTCTATTCTAGAATAGCGGATTAGTTGATCTTTTAGGCCCATATTTTGTTTTTCCATAATATTAAAGCACTTGCTCGTAATCGTGCCTTAAACTACGCCAAATTTCATGTTTTTCAGATGTCTAAATCAGGGAAAATGGCCCCGAAACTTGTTTGGCCCGTTACCATGGCAACGATTGGTGTTGACCGGAAAGAAAGCTATTTTGAGGGGTTGTGGGCCAAGTACTATCACTGTGCAAAGTTTGAGCCAAATCGATTTTTTGACCCCTGCCACCATTGTTTGATCCTTACAGACATTCGCTCTTAAGTTAAATCATCATTTATATATATGTATGAAATATGACAAATAATGTTGTCTCTGTCATCCAGTCCCCAAAGACAATGACTTAACTGTGTAAAACAGGATGGCACAGTACCCCTACAAATTAAAAGCTTGAAAATTGAGGGAGGGAGGGTAAACGGGCCCTTTGTTAACCCGGGATATGTTTTTCACAGTTCCCACTAAGATCAGACATGTACAAGCCCCAGGCCTGAATGTCTCTGTTTTTGTTACTCCACACAGATGCATCACCTATATCACAGAGCTGATGGACATACTGACTGACAATGAGAACATCTTTGTGGGAGCCAATGTGCTGGAGGAGTCCGAGGCTATTGAGGTGGGTTCACAAGTGCACAATACATCATGTCTCCATTGAACTTCCCCCAAAACAGCCTTCTCAACTGAGAACAGAGTAGCCAAGACATGTCCTCTGTAGAGTAATAATTATAGGAGCACTAGTTGAATGGGACATTGCAGTACAATTATGGAAATACATGTATATGTAGTTTATTAATTTTGTTTACTAGATATTAAGATTAATTGGTTGGAGAATATAATTAACAGTTACTGAGTTACTAATTCAATCTTATTTGCATACTGAAAAAGAATTTGTCAGTTATAAAGGTTAACATCATTTAGGGAAGGTATGGGGTTGTGAAACTATGAGTTTACCTTTTTCTAAGCAGCCTTGATGGTGGTATCGAACACAGCATGCTTACATATAATAAGACTCGCAAGTAAAAAATCCATTCTAAGTTATGGCACCCTGAGTTAACACCCTGTGTTACATGCATTCAGATAAAATACTTCCTAACAATCCTAAAGATACAGACCAGTGTTCTAGCCAGTGTCCAACTTTCCGCCATTCCGCAGTAATTTTGCTGCTAATAATGAAAAAAATTTGACCAATCCGTCGCCTGCCAGTAAAATTTCCCTTTCAAAATGCGGGTTTGTATTCTCTCTGTCTGTTGTGTGGTTTTGTGTTACCCAGACTGAACCATTCCGTGTCCGGGGGTGTTTTTCCTCTCTATAATATATTGTGTGGTTTTGTGTTGACTAGACAGAACCATTCCGTGTGACTTTGACTTTGTGTACTTTGACTCTTTGGTTGTTGTGTGGTTTTATGTTGCCCAGACTGAACCATTTCGTGTCCGGGGGTGTTTTTTTTGTCTCTAATTGTTGTGTGGTTTTGTGTTGACTAGACAGAACCATTCCGTTTGCGGGGGTGTACTTTGACTGTTTGATTGATGTGTGGTTTTGTGTTGCCCAGACTGAACCATTCCGTGTCCGGGGGTGTTTTTGGTCTCTAATTGTTGTTTGGTTTTGTGTTGACTAGACAGAACCATTCCGTGTCCGAGGGTGTACTTTGACTCTCTGATTATTGTGTGGTTTTGTGTTGCCCAGACTGAACCATTCCGTATGCGGGGGTGTTTTTTTGTCTCTAATTGTTGTGTGGTTTTGTGTTGACTAGACAGAACCATTCTGTGTGCGGGGATGTACTTTGACTCTCTGATTGTTGTGTGTTTTTTTTGTTGCCCAGACTGAACCATTCCGTGTGCGGGGGTGTATTCTGTCTGTGATGGAGAGAGCAGATGAAGAGTTCATCAAAATGCTGCAGGCTTGTGATGCCCACTCTACAGAATATGTGGAAAGGTAAGCTCCAATAACAGAATCAGGTGTCACGCAGCGTGCAAAATACCTGGTTGCCCCGGGCAACCAAATGTTACTTGGGGCAACCTACTTTTGAACCTAGGTGGCCCAGTGAGCTACCTGGATTTTAAGAATGCCCTCCCCCCTCCCCCGAAATCGTGCCCAATTGGCTTGCACTACTGTATCCAGCAGATGCTTTTTAATTTTAGGTATTAATGGCTATTTACTAGTAACAGTTAAGTTACTAAAGGCTGTTAGAAATATTGTCAAGGGCTTATGTATGTAACATTACTTAATTTGAAGAAAGTAGTAACTTATAGGTGGGGCAACCTAAAATTCTGATGGGCAACCTAATTTTTGCTGTAGGTTGCCCACTGGGCAGATTTTGACCTGTATTTGCCCACTGGGCAACCTGGTTCAAAAAAGTATTTTGTACACTGGGTGTGTATGTGTATGTTAGGGCTGCATACGTACATGTTATTGTAACATCAGGTACAGTACAGGAACATGTACTCAGTCTGGTACAGAGGTTAAAGGTAGAGGTCTGGACCTATACGTGTACAATCATGGACCAGAAAAATTTGACTAACACATGTTCTTCTGAACTTCCTCAGAATCGTAATTCAGTCCCTGAAAGATCATTTTTGCATATTAGATGTCCTTTGGATGCCTCTGTGTTGTATGAGTCCACTAGGGAAGTGTGAATTTAACTTGGCATGCACTGGTACTTAGTGATTATTTTATGTTGATTTTTTGTGGTACTGTGCTCTAGTGTAGAGGAAGGTTGTGGGTTGGAATCCGTGGCAGGCCCCATGGTGTTGTCCATGGGAAAAGCACTTCATACCTAGTAGACATACATGTATTGTACATTTGGTGTGTTAGGCCGAAAGGCGGTTATACCGGCTATACAGATACAGATACATTTACAGTGTACATGTACATCTCAATTTTCGCGGAGCTTTGAATTTATATCCACAGTTTTTGCAGTCACTTCTGTACCACCAATGTATCATTACCTCATAACAAATAATTCAGTAAATTTCTTCTGCACCTGCCACCACTGTGAACATACATGTATACAATGTAGTTCTGTGAATTTGGCTACTACATTAATAATATTTCCCCACTCATTTCAGCCAAGTGAGCAGGAAATACTATAATTTCATGGTGATAAATGGTTGGAATTTCTGCTCATGTGCACATGCATGTGTGTGTGTGCCTGTGTGAGTCAGTGCATGACGTGTGCGTGTGTACCTGCATGTGTGTGTGTATGTACAAAGATTTGTCTTCCTGATACTGAAGTTGCAACTCTGACCCATGAAGAATGACTATACATTGTAACAATACCATGTTTTTGTTTCTCACCCCATTCTCAGGCTGAAGGATGAGAAGAAGATTGAAGTGCTTGTTGTGCGTCTTCAGAAGTACCTTGAAGAACGGGGTACATCTCAAGAAATCTGCAGGGTGTACCTGCGCAGGATCGAACATGTGTACTACAAGGTACAACTCTCCATTCCTACCCAGGGCTGCATGTAAAGCCTGTCACACATTCAGTACCTTCCCCTGACCACCTACCAAAGTTGGCTGAAGTTTGGGAGCAGATTTAGGATTTATCAAAATAAAAATAAAAAATTACTAATGAAAATGGTTTCTGAAAAGTTTTTAGTACATTCCATAATTCCTAAATTCTGAGTGGTGCAGGTAAAATTTGTCTAGTTCAGGTAATTAAATTGTAATTTTCAGTGTTAATTTCCAGTGCAGGTATGCAGAAAAAGGATGTTGAGCCCTGTTTTAAACTTTTTTTAATGCCTTTTCCGTCTGCAGTACGACTACGAACACTACAAGTCTGCTAACCTGGTCAGGAAGACTGAGGAGGAGAAGGAGGAGGGAGGAGAGAAGGATGGGGAGTCAGAAGGGAAGGATGGGGAGGTGACTCCTCAAGAAAAGGGTGGGGAGGAGGCCAAGGACATGGTTGATGGGGAGAAGGTATTTGACTTCTTGTTTTCCTTTGCTGCTCTTGATGTTCTCTATCATTTCAGTGTGACCAGCTGAAAAATCTGTTGGCTGTTAGTAACACTCCCTCTAGATGTCAGTTGTGTACACAAGGTCATTTAGGGCACTGTAATTTATATCCTACAGTTTAGTACCAGTACTTAGTGATTACTATGTAGGTATTTTGGACCTGTACCAAATTGATTTTTCGTGGTACTGTTAAACAGCACTAGGTCAGAAAAACGTGCAGAAAATTCATAGGTATTATTTACAAACTTTTTTGAGAGTTAACCGTACCTCCTGGTCTGTGTTGTACGGCAGAAAGAGAAGACTGCCGTCATCATGGACAAGTTGTGTAAGTACATCTATGCCAAGGACACGACAGACCGTATCCGTACCCGCGCCATCCTGTGTCACATCTACCACCACGCCCTGCACGGGCGCTGGTACGAGGCCAGGGACCTGATGCTGATGTCACATCTACAGGACACTATCCAACACTCCGACGTGCCAACTCAGGTAGGTCACTGCACAGGTCATGTGCACCTTAATTATGTTTACCGAAGGAAAACATATTGTTTTTGCTCAGTTTCTTCCTCTTCTTCTTCTCCAAACAGTGACCCTTGACCTGATGACCAATGACACGGTTGGTTGACGTCTGTCACCATGGTGACTGGTGTTGGGTTACATAATGTTGCAATTTCATGGTCTGCTCTGCTCCTGTCACCATATACTAGTAGCATATGTATGTGGATGTGTTTGAGTAAGAATTAACAAAGCAGACAATGTCCGAAGGTAAACAATATGCATTTGCTTTGCAAATGTTACTACTCTAGTTTATGTTTATGTTTATTAGGAATCTCCATTAGTCATACAAAGTTTGTTTACTAGTCTTCCTGGAGTCCTTTACAGGAAATACAATCAATTACAAAGTTAATATGTGCATTGGATGCTTTTAAGTTACATCTAATTGTCAATAATATTAATGACACATTTCTGAGCTATATTTGACTTGTTTGGTTTGGCCCCTACAGATTCTGTACAACCGTACCATGGTACAGTTGGGACTGTGTGCATTCCGCTATGGGAACATCAAAGATGCTCACAATGCCTTGTTAGATATCCAGTCTGGAGGGAGAGCTAAGGAGCTCCTAGCACAGGTAAAGTACAGGGCACTGCACATGTGGACAATATAATACGGGCAAGACTGTGTTAATGATTCTAAAATATAGTTTGTGATTGAATAAGAAGATTTTTTTTACACAACCAAGCATACATGTACATTGAATTAAAGAGGGGTTATATACATTTGTACATGTATATGGATCATAAAATTTGTGACAAATTCATCATGAACTGTGATGAGGAGACATGTATAGAGACAGTCTATGTACATGTAAACACAGATGTAGATGTTGATTATTGCACTCCTGTATGTTTAGGACTGCATGGTAGCTTCCCTTCCCCATAACTGGGTAATTGTACATTTTGTTCATGTACATGTAAATACTTTGCCTTTGGGAACTGCAACCAGTCAGAACTGCCCAGAGAAAGGTGACTGACGATCACCAAAACTTTGGATGAATAAAACGCTGGTTCTCTTTATTTATAAGTTGGGACTACATGTACATGTATGACTGACGACTCATTTCCGAGTGACCCTGAATAACTACCAGTGGACTAGTAGCGTGACACAAATGCTCAACGACCTGCAGTGGCCCCTCCTCTCCGAAAGGAGGAGGAAAGCCTGCCTCAAAACATTTTACAAAATAGCGCATAAAATTACCAATATTCCTACCAATAACCTGCTCAAGCCAGCTCAGGGGCGCGCTCGAGGGAGTCATCAGTATAAATACCAACCTATACACGCATGTACAGATGTCTATAAATAGTCCCTTTTCCCCCGCACAATCCCACAATGGAACGCCTTGCCTAGCCCGGTAGTTATGGCTCCCACCGTTGAGGCCTGCCCGCCTTAGACCAAGGCCTCCCCCCCCCCCCAAAGTGCCCCAACAGGGGCTATATGGGGGTGTAGCCGGGGCTCATATAACATCTCAGAACCCCGGCAAAGATGAAGATGAATATTTCATTACCGTTACATCTGT